GGAGTGGGTTTTGCGGTACGCAAACTGAACTGCAGGGAGGGATTCCATGTGACTGGCGCTATCCATGTATTGCGTAAGTTGCTCTAGCGCACACCGCTTGAGAAGTTTGGACATGAGAGGAAGGAGGGAGATGGGTCTGTAGTTGCGAGGGTCGGAAGCGTCCCCACGTTTGTGGATCGGACGGACATGTGCTAGCTTGTAGGGCGTTGGGAATTCTCCAGTTTCGAGGGATAACGACAAGAGAGAGGCAAGCGTTGGTGCAATTTGATCAGGCACAAGTTTGTTAACGAGCGGGGGGATGGCGTCAGGACCGCTTGCTTTGCGACTGTCCATAGCACGGAGATGGAACTTAACGTCCTCCGCTGTGATTCGGGTAAAAGAAACTAGAGTGCCGTCTGACTGGGGGCCACACGGCAGACCAGGTAGAATGTTGGATGGTTGATCAGGCATGGATGCCAGCGTCAGGGCGTCAGAAGTCTCTGTCGGCAGCAAAGGTCCAACTATTTCTGAGAATACAGATGTAATGTCTGCAATACTAGCTCCAGGCTCACGGCTGACTTTCGTTCTGCCAAGTAGGCTGTTCATAGCGCTCCACTGACGTCTAGGGTTCCGTCTGTTGTTGATGAACTCGGCCTGAAAGTAATTGGCTTTCTTACGGCGCATGGTGATTTTGCACTGTCGGCGAAGCGCTCGGAAAGACTGGATTCGCTGCTGGTCACCCGGCTGTTTCAGCAGGAGTCTATGAGCTCGTTTTCTGCGGTAGAGCAGTTTACGTAGCTCGTCGTCGACCCATGGTGCGGGTTTATACTTAGTGGAAAAGGTAACTATCCTCACGGGGCAATGGTGATCAAGTGCTTCAGTGATGGAGCCCTGAAAAAGTTCAATGTTTGCATTGAGGTCAGTTGGTTGGTTCTCGACGATTGACATCTTCGAAGTGATCTCTGTCTGGAATGCCTGTGCGTTTATGGTTCTTATTGGAGGCTTCCGGGTTCTGACTGGTGGATTCTGCGGCGCAGAGTGCGATGTAGCCAACAGCTCTAAAACTACTAGTTGATGATCGGAAGCGTCGCATGGCTCAACGGAACAGCCATGGTAGATGATGCTCTGTCTCCCTGAGGAATGAGAGATGCGTGCTGGTGGATAAATTGTACGGGGTAGTAAGATTAAGTCTAGCACCGATTGGCTCGGAAATCTGGTTGGGGACGTAACTACGTTCTGTAAGTTGGTAGCATGGCAGAAGCTTAGGAAGTGCCTGTACTGCTGGTGTTGGTGGTCTGCGATGTTGACGTTGAGGTCGCCTAGCACGATGGTATGAGCTTCTCTCGTGTGTGATTCGATGTCATCAACGGTGTTGAGCAACTCCTCCCAAAATGTGACGGGGGATGAAGGGGGTCTGTACGTGCATACTATGTTCAGGGGATTGTGCGGCAATACTAACTGGATGGAAACGGCTTCGATATCTTGGAGGATATGTAATTGTCTGTGCTTAAGTTTGTCATTGATGTAGATACATACACCGCCTCCTGTCTTTAGCTTGCGGTCTCTTCTGTGTACTTCGTATCCAGGCAGTTTGATTAAGCCGTCAGGGATTGCTGTTTTCAGCCATGTCTCCGAGATTGCTAGGACGTCAATCTTGTGTTTGAATAGAATGTATTGAACTTCATGCAGTTTATTTAAAAGGCTACAGATATTTATGTGGGCAATTAACAAAGGAGAATCTTTTTTAGAAATGCATGCACGGGTGATACTTAGCTTTCCGTCGTTGGTGTCAGTGGGTGGTTGTATCACTGGGGATGCCCTTGGTGTGTCCTATTGGGTCACGTCATGGTCATGTAGCATCCGTTCAATGTTCTCATCTGTGAGCACTTTGCCTCCGGAGATAATTGTATCGCGGGGCAGGTGGCACTGTGTACCCTTACTGCGAAGGGCCTTCATTTTGGGCACCAGAGCCCTTCTCCGTGCTTGTTCGGGCCGTGTCAGATCGTGCTGAATGTAAACATTAGCCCCTTTGAAGGTAGCGTCGCGACGGTGCCTCATCAGGGTTGCCTTCCCGCTCTCAGTTAGGGCAACGTGGACTAACCGCGGCTTTATTTGGTGGGCAGTGGTGCTTGCATTATTTGAACCGCGCGTGCCGATACGGGATGCGGACTTCACGTCAGCGGCGGCTAAATTGGGCACCAGTGTCGGAACTAGAGTAGCGAGGTCTTCGGACGGGAGCTCTTCCAGGCCACGCAGTATGACATTGTTGGAGCGCAATCTGGACTCGGTGGCCTCCTCAATCATGTCACGCACCTTGATGTGGAGGTCATTTAAGGCAGGAGCTGCCGTACGTGGCTTATCTAGGGCCTGGGTAGCTATGGAGATAAATGTGCTAAAGCGCGAGTCCAGCTACCCAGGCCAAAGAAAGAAAAGATTAGGAAAAGCACCAAGGGTGAGTACGAGGCTGTGAAGGTGAGTACGTTGAGTGCGCGCCTGAAAAGGTGAGTACGAGAGTGGATGTGAGTGCGCGCCTGAAAAGGTGAGTTCGCGCCTGTAAAGGTGAGTACGAGAGTAAAGGTAAGTTTGCGCCTAAAAAGGTGAGTACGAGAGTGAAAGTGAGCGTGTGCCCGAAAAGGTGAGTTCGCGCCTGTAAAGGTGAGTACGAGAGTGAAAGTGAGTGCGCGCCCTAAAAGGTGAGTACAAGAGTGAAAGTGAGTGCACGCCTGAAAAGGTGAGTACGAGAGTGAAAGTGAGTGCGCGCCTGTAAAGGTGAGTTCGAGTGTGCGAGTGCGTACGAGTGTGCAAGTGCGTGCATATGTGAAATCGTGAACATAACAAAGATAATACTTATAGTAGAAAATGTGCAACCACTCAGCAATGTCCGTCAAAATTAGGGGTCGAAAAGTGGCTGAAGTTGACAAAACGGATATGGGGACCATCCTTTTTATTTCAGAATTTGAAACCTAAGGTACCTAAGACTCCACGCAATCTGTTCACATCACAATATGGCCCAGAATCTGCGAAAACCAGGCTTAGGGTGAAATTTCACAAAATGACTTTTCCCATTTTCAGCTTCTACTGGGCATGGGAGGTCAGGAAACAAAATATTACATGTGTGGGTCGACTCATAGTGGTATTAAAAGTATCTCAAACACACCAGGGTTTTGTGTTAAAAAATCCCAAAAAAACACAAACAAAATTGTTATCACAGGAAAGAAATGAAGAGAGATCCACCAGACTCAAGGAAGAGACATGGATGATTTTTGTTTAGGTGACATGACAAGGTAGGCATCTGGGGGCAGGCTTGTTGTGGCGCCTTTATGCTGCAGGCTGTAGTGGCCATGCACAGTTGTGCATGAATTTTGTTTGCTCCTCACTCAGCACATTCTGGGGCTGAGTCATGTACTGGCATGCTCTGGCGCTACACACCACAAGGAAACCTGACTCCAGTTGAGATGGCACCTTTTGAAGGGTGAATCTAGTACAACTGTTCAGAAACAAGCAAGAACACAGCCTTTCAAACTGCTCCACTGTTCATAGTAAGCGCATACTGAGTAGTGTGCTGGCGTGCTGCAGTGTCTGCTTGGTGCTGATCAGCAAGTGAAATATCGGCACGCCGTACAATCCCTGGCAGCTAGCTGTCCAGCGAGGAAAGTTTCGAGTGGAGGCCGCTCGATCTGCTCGCTCATTCGCCTGGCATTTAGTAGCACTTCATCGCCAAGGACTTCAATTCAAAACAGTTTTCACACTGCGCTTCAAATCTTTTTCTTTGTGAACTTGCTGCAAACGTATGAGCTCTGCTGCGCGCGTTCCCTTTGCGTGAGGCCCAGAAACAGCTAGTAGCTCCGTACTTCGATTGGCTGGATCGATGTCGTCCAGGTTCTCCTCGCTATCGCCATCACGACTCTAACTGGAGACGATTTCTTCACCATTTTCCGCAAGCAGCAGCTAGCGCAGAAATTTCCCCCTCCCTGAGTTTAGGAGATGGAATCCGTTCGATCAGCTCAAAAACTGTTCGTTGTGACTAGAGGAGTAGCAGGGAATATTCTACCGGAAGCCCTTTGACTTCCCTGACTGCTGAAACCCTTCCTGCCATGACTGCTACTTCTTCAAACGAGCGAGATTCTCTTTGGTTCCACTTCACTGCACTCGATCGTCCACGCGACACAACCTTTTTACAAAACATCATTTTTCTCAAAAAAAAGATTTTCACCCTAAGCCTGGTTTTCGCAGATTCTGGGCCATATCATGATTATGAAATTTTGCCTAAACTGTCCCAAACCTCCTTAACATCACCCTGGCGTGTACGCTTGCTTCGCTCACTGTGCTTTTACGTTGATGCTCGTCATGTCTACAGGAAGTGTATTGCTTATGGATGGAGCCATCCAGAAAGCTCAAGATTGTGAAAATCGACCTTCAAGTTAGTGGAGTTATTCAACTTATCGTGGGAGAAGAAGTATGTGCAAGAATGCCGATTTCGCATTCGACAAGATCAGTTCTAGTCCTTAAAGATTGGGAAGAGAAAAGGTGGCCACGATGGCCCTCCTCATGGCATGAAGTTCCGCGCTGTGCGTGCCACCAATTTTGACAAGTGGACTGCTGAGAGCAACAAGGTTTCTGTGCGGTTTCCAGGGAAAATGTGTTCGTTCAAAAGCTTCCCGGAGTCTTTTATCGTTGGGTCGAGATTTAAAAAATGTTGGCTTTCAAAGACTTCTGCGGCAAAAATGGTATGTCCGTGAAGTGCCAGGACATTACGTCAGAACGACCATGATTTCTTATCACATGGCCTGGAACACCAAATGTGCACATGTGCTTCGTAGCAAGCCGGGGGGGGGGGGGGGGGGGGGGGATAGGGGGGACACAATTCAATAGAGGGCTATTTTTTTTCACGTGCTCTTATAGACTGGGGCACTCTTCAACATAGAGCACTATTCAAGAGAGGGGTCTAATCGCGAAAGCACGGTAATCCTTCTTTTCTGCTCCTACACAAACAAGCATGCACCAGGGATATCCTGACTTACCGAAGCTTTCGCTTCCAATGGGTGTCCAGCATTAAGTAGATATTCTAGTACGGACACATGACCTTCCTGTGCTGCATAGTGGAGTGGTGTCCAACCACCCTGGAAGTAGCATCATTAATGAATACAAATCATGTACACACAAACAAACACAAACACATACACATACATACATACACATGCACACATAAACGCATATGCGCGCACATGCGTGTGCACACAATTTGAATGAGGGATTTCCCCATCATTCTGGGCATGCAGTGACGTAGAAACACGTTCAAAATGGTAAACGGACTCATGGCAGTTTGTGAACTTTTTTTGAAGTAACAGTTAGTTGTTACGAGCAAGGAGAGCGAAATGGCTGATGCAAGACGACTTCTGTCGGAATATTGGCTTTGCAGCTAAGACGCTGGGCTGTAGCGCTGGCGTTTTGCCCTTCACGGTGGCAAGCGTGGGCTCAATGTGTTCCTCTTGCGCCGAGCTTTCCAGGAAGCCCAAGATTGAAAAAATCGACAAAAGGAGACTAAAGTTATGACCCAGATAATTATAGAATTTGAGGTGAGTCGAGATCAAATTCAGTCTGTGTACAATTTTTTCTGTACATAAAGGGTTAAGTTGGTTATGGGCTTTGAGCAGTGTCAGCTCCAGTGCCAGTTCAAGCAGGTCAGCGACCCTGTGGGGGGGGGGGGGGGCTGGGGAGGGGGGGGGGGGGGAGGCGGGTTACTTGGACCCGTTTGAAAAAAGAATTATTAAAGTGAGAGCTTGGAAGGTCAGTGCCCTACGCTATGCTTTTATGCCTAGTTCATCATGCATGTTATTAGAACTGATGGAAATGTTTTTTTCCATTGATTGGTTACATCATTGTTTTGCAAAAACATTTCAATCGGTTTGAATACGAGTTACGCAAAAGTAATTGCAGAATTTATTGGTTTATATAAACGTTCTCTTTGCATTCGAGGGTAATACGACACCGTCCACCACCTTGATGACTTAGGCGAAAAAAACGAAGAGATGTTATGTATTTTTCATTTCTCCGACTGAAGCATTTTTGAGAAGAAGTTTTGAGGCTGCCTGCAGTTTCATAGTATTTACACAATTGGGTGAACTCACCCATTCCACAATTCTCTGCAAATCTGAACCATTCCATTATAATACGTTTCGGCACTTGGCCATCGTCCGGTAATAACAATGAATACCGTGGAAGCCACACAAGAGCAGTATATATACGCAGAGTATAGCGCCAAAAAAGATGCGAATTATGTCACCTAGTATGAAGAGGGGGGGCAGAGAGAGAGAAGGTGCAACTAGCACATCACGGAGAAGAAGCAGCAGAAGGTAGCGCGCCATTGCACTTTGCTCTGTGAAGTAAGCGCGCATGCCATGGCGTTACGCAGAGTGTAGCGCCAAAAAAAGGGATGCGAGTTATGTCACCGCTATCCAGAGGGGGGGGGGGGGGAGAGAAGTTTGCCACCCGCACCGACGGCAGGGCGCTGGGCAGTAGCAAGCTGGTGTAGTATCCCTGCCCGACCAATACGGAAGCAGTACGGAACTAATACGGAGCTTGCCTGATGTATATTTAGTGTATCTCCGTATGTAAGCGTACGTCGTCTGCTGCATAAAAGCGGCTGCGCATTTCTGTTTTGATGAAGAGAAGATCAGATTAGATTGGATAGCAATGAAAGCTAACTCGGAGAATAAGGATTCAGCCTCTAGGTGAGCACCGGAGAGAAAGTTAGTTATTTTGCCGCTTCTTCTTTCACGAACGATTATATCTCAGGTGTGTACCTGAAAGTAGAATAAAAGTAATTCGTGTTAATTGCACCGCGCCTACCACTCGGCTACCCATTACATTGGTGGCAGCGGTGTAGTTTTAAATAAAACAACGTGATTCGACCCCAGACTCCGATGGCTCAACCCGCTACAGCTCCGTGCGACGAATCAAGATGAGAATCATGTTTCTTGCCTTCCTCGGCCTGGCACTGCTTATTAGCCTGCAGCACAGTCAGGGTGCTAACGTGGATCACCATTCTTTCCGCACGGCACACACTGGAGACTCCGATGGCGATTCCAAGCGACCCGCCACCTACATGTATACTACCGGTGGTGATAGCGAAGCGGATGAGGACGACGACATGCAGGCTGCTGACCAAGACAAGGAGGGTATTCCCCAAGACCAGCAGCGTTTGATTTTCGCCGGCACGCAGTCGGAAGCAGGAGCCCACTCTTCACTTTGGTACTTCGCCTCCGTGGTTTGATGCAGATTTTCGTCACACTCTTCCTGGCTAGACCATCACTCTTTACGTCGCGCAAAGTGATGCTATCGACAATGTGAAGACCACGATTCAAGACGAGGAGGGAGGTCATTTGTCTGACGCCGAGCTAGCCGCTCTGGGTGACCGGCTCAACCAAGATGAAGATAAAACCTGGCTTGCTCTCCGCCGTAGCTCCAGCCGCCGCCGTGGTTACTAACGCTGATTCCAGGTATGGCATTTTCTTTCCTGTCTTCCTTAAGTCTCCCTGTTCTCTTCAGTCTTCCTTTATGCGAGTGTGTGAATCCAGATTAGTTTGGTAGGCGTCTGATCATGGTGAGCCACGGTTTACCCAGCTAACGTGGGACAATGTGTGTGACAACGCCCCTTATAGTTATAGTGTATTCAGTTCGGTTTTTGAACTGCGATGTTCCTGGCGGGTTGTGCCAGCGTAGTGCAGCAAGAGTGCTGTGGTTTCAGGTCCTATTTGGAGGACAGTTCTTTCCCCTTTTGACCCCGTGAGATCGTGTGAAACTGGTGTGCTTCTACTTTATGATTTGTTATCAGTTCATTTCTTCTGTCTACTCTGAACGTTATCATTTCCGATATAATTTGCCATCTTCCGGTTGACGCTGTGTTCGTAACTCTTCACTAATTTTTTAAAATCACGAGGGCGTGATTATCTGTAGGAAGGGAGGGTGTAGTATCCCTGCCCGACCAATACGGAAGCAGTACGGAACTAATACGGAGCTTGCCTGATGTATATTTAGTGTATCTCCGTATGTAAGCGTACGTCGTCTGCTGCATAAAAGCGGCTGCGCATTTCTGTTTTGATGAAGAGAAGATCAGATTAGATTGGATAGCAATGAAAGCTAACTCGGAGAATAAGGATTCAGCCTCTAGGTGAGCACCGGAGAGAAAGTTAGTTATTTTGCCGCTTCTTCTTTCACGAACGATTATATCTCAGGTGTGTACCTGAAAGTAGAATAAAAGTAATTATTGTTAATTGCACCGCGCCTACCACTCGGCTACCCATTACACTATGACTAGTCGACTGGGAGTATGAGTCAGGTGTGAAGCAGGGAGACAGGGTGGTAGGAAACAGGTGTAGAGTGACGACTTGCCCCCGATGGCGGGTCGCCGAGTCGCAGAAAAAGTCAAAGTACATGTATGTCAAGTGTGATGAAGCAGTGTGGTCAAAAAGTGAAAAAGAGGCAAGTGCAGATGGTAGCCCAGGTAATGAAAGTAGTATACTAGTACATGTATATGTACAGTATGGTGTAATATTATGCTATATGCATTATAGAAGGTCCCAGCCGGTGCTTGTGTTAACTGGTGGCTTGGTGTCACGTATTTCAATAACCTCACGAAGCTTGCGACGGGCTCTGTCGGGCTCTCTGGCGATGACGGTGACTTCCGAGAATGCACTTTCTCCGCAAGCCAAAGTGCAGTCAGGGTGCTTGGTTCTGTAATGGTCCCCCAGGGCTTGTCTACTGTCCTCCTTCGTGCTTCTCCAGTATGCTTATCCAGCCGGGTCTCAAGGAATCGCTCCGTCTCGCCAACAAATTGCTGTACACATTTCTTGCATTATGTTTCGTATACCACATTTTTCTGCATGCATGCATCCTGGGCCCCAGTCTGGCATGTCAGGCACGGTCCCTTGGGCCGACCTCTCGTTCTCCGCTGAGTTGGGTTTTTGGCTTTAAGGCATAATGGACGTACTAGGGCAGACTGGCACAATATACGCTTCAGGCTTCCAGCATTCTCGTACACGACTCTGACGGGTATTTTATATATTCGTATGGCTTTGTTTACAGCATAATCCACTTGGTCAGATTTGTATGGTTATTTCAAGAAGGCACTGGATGGGTTTGTCCAACGCCGACGCTTTGGCTTGCTAGCTCGTGTGCGCGCCTCGTTGATGACAATGTCCGGATAGTGATTCAGTTTTAGTTGCTTGGTTATTAACAGTTAACACAAGCACCGGCTGGGACCTTCTATAATGCATATAGCATAATATTACACCATACTGTACATATACATGTTGGACTCAGTAGAGCGTCCAGCCCCTATATGATGTCCAACCCCTATATAGAGTCCATTGGTCCAAAATCCACTGTACAGAGTCCAAACTTTGAATCAACTGTGAGCTCAAAGTTTAGATGGACATCACTCCCTGTATAAAAAATTTCACGGTTCGCGTGAGACTCGGCTGGAAGCCGGGTTTTCCACATCCGTAGGAACGCCACCACCCTTCAAGGATCAAGGCGCAGATGCAGCTCCTAAAGCGGTGGGAGGTGAGTAGATCAGCTCACCAGCAAGTGGTCAAAGACCGAAAATCCCATTCACTGCATCCATGTTTTCCTCGTGCCAGGCCACGAGTTCCCAATTAACTGTGGGTCGCAGCACGGCTGGAAAAAATCCTTCCGCTTCCAAGCAGGACTTGAACCTGGTACCCTCTGTTTCTCAATCATGGTCTTAGACCATCCCACTGTATAGAGTCCAGCCAATTGGCTTCACCCCTATATAGAGTCCATTGGTCATAAATCAACTGTATGGAGTCCAAACTTTGAAATCAACTATAAGGAGTCTTTATGTGGACAACACTCCCTGTATAAAGTCCAGCCAATTAGGCATCCCCTATCCAGAGTTCGAAATTAGACATAGGATCTGCTGTAAGCAGTGAATATTAACCAGAAAACGGCCTCTCCCTTTCATCCTTTTTACATCATTTACTTCTCAAGATAAAAAAATAAGTATTGAGGCGCGCCACTGCAGCCATTTCATTACATGAAAAACCCTACAAACACCATCCTCAAATCAAGTGGTCTCTTCGCAGACGCTGCAAATTAC